TCACTGCAGGTGGAGTTCCCTGATTCTAGTGCAGAGGACCCATGCTCCCTCTAGATCAGTGGTTCTCAACGTTTTTTGTACCAGGACCCATTTGTAAATAGAGATGCACCAATATATCAGTCATATATCGGATTAGCACTGAAAACAGGAAAATAAAATTATTGGCAGTCAGCTTTTTTTGGCTGATAATGTCGCCGATAAATGCTGTGTGTGTGCACACAGCCGCAGCATGCACACAGCCAGGAATGCAGTCTGGCAGCTTGGAGAGCAGCATCCAGCTGGTAAGTCTGTGGGGGGGCAGGGGCATGGGGGCGGGATGGGGTGTGAGGAGGCACATATCAAGACCTCCATGGTGAGGGAGGAAGTGGGGCAGAGGCAGGCGCTGCCCAGACAGGTTGGTGAATGTAACTCAAGGGCAGGGTGCAGGGCAAAGCTAAGGGCAGCATATGCAGGGGTGTAGGGGGGTGAGGAGAGGGAGCAGCTCCATGCCGCTGCATGCACCCCCAGGGATGCTGCCAGGGTACCGTCATGCACAAAGCTGGGGGGAATGGCGTGCTCATGTGTCCCCCAGATTTGTGCAGGGGGTGCAGGTGGGCTGCTTGCTGTGGGCTTGGGGCTAGGGGCTGCACCATCCTTTTCCTGGTGGGGGTTGGCTGCACGTGGGGCGGGTGAGGGCAGGGCAGGCTCAGCTGTACCAGGTGGGCAGCATCACTGGGGGGGTTGGCCATGGGAAATTTTGGGGTGGCCATAGTCTCCCAAGCCTCCCCCTAGTGCTGCTGCTGCCCACCCCATACAGCTAAAAGCCCGCCCTGCCTCGAGTGTAGCCCCAGCCCAGCCCCGCCGCCAGAAGGAGTCTGATATAGCCCTTGGCCCCAATCCTGCAGCAGGCAGCATGCCCTTGCCCTGCATACAAATCCAGGGGGATGCATGCCCCCTATGCCTCACCCAGAGTGTCCACACAGCAGCGGGGAGCCACCCTCCCTCCCCCCCATGCCTCCTGGATGAGCTGCCCATGGCTCTGCCCCACGCCCTGACCTAGGGTTGTGTTTACCGCCCTGGCTGAGCAGCACCTACTCCACTTCTTCCCTCACCATGGGGGCCTTGATCTGCCCCTCCGCAACACCGCTTTCCTCTGCTACGCCCCTTCCTCCCCCACAGAGTTACCGGCAGGAGGCTTTTCTCCAAACTGCCGGGCTGCACTCCTGTAAATCTGTTATTGGATTGGTATTGGCCAATATGGCTATCGGGATTGGCCAAGAAAATCATCGGTGCACTCTAATTTGTAAACATCCAGGGCCAGTCCCGACCCAGTGCCCCTTACACCCAACCTGCTGCCCCCACCCCCAGCCCCCCAGTGTGTGGGGCAGGGGGGGCCCAAGCAGCCCCTTGTAGGCTGGAACTCTGCCAACCTGCAAGGGAAAAGCCAGTTTCCCATGTTTTTCTCCTTTAAAGGAGAATCAGTTTTTAAAGTTTGTTTGTGACCCTTTCATATATTCTTGCGTCCCACTTTTGGGTGTGACCCACAGGCTGAGAAACACTGCTCTAGACCAGTGATTCTCCACCAGGGTGATTCGAGATCCTTTGGCTGCAGGAAGTGTGAGGAGGTAAGTAATGTGTTAGGCCATTCCTCTAGGACAGGGGTTGTCGGGATACTTGGAAAGGCACTAGGGGTGCGGGTAGGCAGGGACAGAGTGCTGCTACCCACCACCCTGTGCCACTGCCTCCCAGAAGCAGGGGCAGGGCAAGGATAGCAGCGCCCCTCTGCGAGCCACACCTGTGCCGCCTGGCTGACTGGACGTGTGGGAGGAGAGCAGAAAGTCCACATGTGGCGGGGGGGGGGGACCACCCCCCCCCCCCCCCCCCGCATCCCGCTGCTGGGGGTACACTTACTAAAAAAGGCTGAAAACCCCTGCCCTAGGAGGTAAGCACTGTAATAAATAAATGAGTTTTAAAATAGCATGCCACCAAACACTTCTCTAGGTGCAGGAGACTAAAGTAGGATGGGATGAAAAACATGAAAGAGGAAGAGATGTAAGTAGGGGCCAGATCAAACTAGGAGTGAACTGAGATTGAGTGAGGAGCAAGATAGGGGAAGACTGAGACCTAGAACAGATGGAGGGAAGACTGATACCAGGTGAGGAACCTTCAAGGAGGCCCAGGGTTCAGTAAAGGGAAGACCAGCTGGACAAGGGGCCTGAATGCATTTGCTAAGCTGGAAGCACAGGATAAGAAGCAAAAGTTGCTGCTTTTCCATGGATGCGCAGTTAGAAAGGGTCCACTTTAGCCAAAACTACACTGCCCTTCCTCTTTCCACTGACATTGTTTGCTCAAGCTTTAAAAGCTGGGGAAGTTTCCCTGTGTGGTACAAGGAGAGCAGGCCCCCCTCGCAACAGAGTGGATCTACCCAGTCTTAGATGTGCTACAAAAGACTTAGCTGGGAGGCAAGGATGGTGGGAGGAATCACTTTAAAAAAAGATGCATCAGTGAATATCACCAGGGCTGTCTGGTTTAGTGTTAGCAGTGCCTAAAGCTTCCTTTGTTCCACTTTGGACAAATCAAAATGTATTATATGATTAATCAGTTGTCATGGGTAGGGCTAGAACTGTCAGAGGTATTCCAACCAAAGTATCTAGTACCCTTCTGACCGGTCCTCCCTTATAAATGTATAGAAAACTAATTTCAGTCATATTAGTGCTCCATGACCTTATTTAAGCGCTAGACTTTAGGAAAGCTGATTTCAATGAACTCAGGTGATTAGTCAAGGACGCACTGCAGAGTAGGAGTTTTGAAGAGATGGGAGCCCAGGAAGGGAGGCTGTACCTTAAGGAAATGATCCTTCAGGCACAGAGGGAGATGATCCCGATGCGAGGAAAAAGAGGGAAAGGGGCCAGGAGGCTTCCTTGGCTGACCAGAGAAATCCAGGGCAGCCTGCGGACTAAAAGGGGAGCATATAAAAAGTGGAAACGGGGAGAGATTACAAAAGAGGAGTATACCTCCTCTGCTCACAGCTGTAGGGAGGCAGTTAGACGGGCCAAAGCTACCATGGAGCTGAGGATGGCATCCCAAGTAAAGGATAACAAAAATTTGTTTTTTAGATATATTGGGAGTAAAAGGAAGGCCCAGGGTGGAATAGGACCCCTACTAAATGGGCAGAAGCAATTGGTGACGGA